TAGCTTCCCAGTTTGATATAATTTGCTTACTCTTTTTGGCTGTGCAGAGGCTGGAAGTTGGTGAATTTTCAGGTCTAAGATCCAGTTCATGTGTGACCTATGCAAGCAATGGTAGAGAGACATCCTTCTTTGATGCTGTGGCTGCACAACTTACTCCCAAGGTTTTATCTTCCCATTTTTTTCATTTCATTAGGCAACATATGTGTTTGACTGAACAGATATTAGATTGTTCACTAAACCTGAATTCATATTTTGAGCACCTGAAAATTTTTTTGAATTCAATAAGGTGTAGTGATACATTACAAATCCACAAGTGCTATATATGCCATGCTTGCTCACTATAGCACGTAAATTTATCCTGAGATTATATATCCAGAAAATTCTTTGCTGGACAATCCACAATGACCAAAATATACGAAAGTGCTAATGTTGATCAACGCTATGTTATTGGGGTGAATTTTCTGCTATATTAATTTCGTACTCATAACTTTTGTTTTGTTTAATGCATAGCAGACTACCGGACCAGCTCCTGTTAAGGGAGAAACAGTGGCCAAATTGAAGGTGGCAATCAACGGATTTGGTCGTATTGGCAGGAACTTCCTCCGATGCTGGCATGGCCGGAAGGACTCACCTCTCGATGTCATTGTTGTCAATGACAGTGGTGGTGTCAAGAATGTAAGGGAACTTATGAGAATTAATATATATAGCTTAATTTAACATGCTTTCGGAGAATCATATTGGTAAAATTATATTACATTAAAATTTAATTTAATCTCAAATACAGGCTTCACACTTGCTGAAATATGACTCAATGCTGGGTATTTTCAAAGCAGACGTTAAAATCGTGGACAACGAGACCATCAGCGTTGATGGCAAGCCTGTCCAGGTTGTCTCTAACAGGGATCCCCTGAAGCTTCCTTGGGCTGAGCTTGGCATTGACATTGTTATCGAGGTAACCGATTCCTGTGCTCAGACTAGAATATCAAGAATAAGGATGCCGGATATCTATTACAAAAGAACTGCAATCTTTAATTAGTTTGGAGCCTTGGATAATATTGTAAATAGTACCTTATTATACAACATAATTGGATAACCTACAGGGCACAGGAGTCTTTGTTGATGGCCCTGGTGCTGGTAAACACATCCAAGCTGGTGCCAAGAAAGTTATCATTACAGCTCCAGCAAAAGGTGCTGACATTCCTACCTATGTTGTTGGGGTGAATGAACAAGACTATTCCCATGAGGTTGCCAACATTGTCAGGTCAGTATTCTCAAATCGATTAGCGAGATAGGGAAAAACCCATAACAATTATGACTGTGCTTGAGTAAATTGACTAAATATTCTAGAGGTATAAAATTTGTATTTGTGTGTTTTGCAGCAATGCTTCTTGCACCACAAATTGCCTGGCTCCTTTTGTAAAGGTCTTGGATGAAGAATTTGGTAAACATTCGTTCGTATTTTCAGCATGAATCAAAATGGCACACCTTCGAGGACTAATTCTTTGTTTGTCATGAAAACTTGCAGGCATTGTCAAGGGAACCATGACAACTACTCACTCCTACACCGGAGACCAGGTAATGAATGGCACCTTCATTCTCCTCTGCATATAGATTTTGTTCTTGCCTTACAATCAAAATGCACTCAAGGATTGACATTTTGATGTCCTGACAAAGGAAAAGTTGTAATGAGTAATACCTATGGAGGCATTCAAAAGCAAGTATAAATTGTTTATGGCGTACTGTGCATGCATGTGCAGAGGCTCTTGGATGCTTCACACCGGGACTTAAGGAGAGCCAGAGCTGCAGCACTCAACATAGTTCCCACAAGCACTGGTGCAGCCAAGGCTGTGTCTCTGGTGCTGCCTCAACTCAAAGGAAAGCTCAACGGAATTGCCCTCCGTGTGCCAACACCTAATGTATCAGTGGTTGACCTTGTGATTAATGTTGAGAAGAAAGGTATTTCAGCAGAAGATGTCAATGCAGCCTTCAGAAAGGCAGCCGAGGGACCACTGCAGGGCATATTAGCAGTCTGTGACGTTCCTCTTGTGTCGGTAGACTTCAGGTGCACCGATGTTTCTTCCACCATAGACTCCTCCTTGACCATGGTCATGGGTGATGATATGGTCAAGGTGGTTGCCTGGTACGACAACGAATGGGGATACAGGTGAGTCCACTCGTTATAAATCTAGAAAGAGTTTTTCATTGAACAAAATTACCGTTGCATGGAATGTTAGTCTAAAACTATTCACTATATATTCAAGCTCCACTGTGTCTTGATCTTTCTGTGGATTATTATTTTTGGCAGCCAAAGGGTTGTGGACTTGGCACATTTGGTTGCAAGCAAGTGGCCAGGCACGTCACAAGCGGGAAGCGGAGACCCGTTGGAGGATTTCTGCAAGACAAACCCGGCTGACGAGGAGTGCAAAGTCTATGAAGCATAGACTAATCTTTTTGGCTTTAGCAGTATTTGTTTTCAGCAAATGCTTATATTCTAATCACAACTGAGGAACGGGAACAAAAGCAAATAAATTATATATTAAGATTACCCTCTAAATGATTCTCATCAGAGAGAGAGTATCTTCTTTTTAAACCATATATACTGGCTTGCTTGGGATGTTTACACCATAGGATTTTAATTAACCTCAATTTGCTTCCATTAAGAAAGTTGGCTTAATAAAAAATTTGTTGACAAAGTGCATGAAATAAATTTTAAAAAATAATAATAATAATAATAATAAACCATTAGGACGCTCAGCGCGTCTAGGGTTTTAGGGTTAAAGAAACACTATGAACATCAATGGACCAACCAACGTTCGCTGCAAGAGCAAGAGTAAGCAAATGTGGAGTGCTTAGCAACCGGACAATTAATTTAACATAACTATATGAAATTAAAAACCAAAACCAACCCCAAAATAACTAAAACCCTAAAACAACTCATACACCTGTTTGGGCCTAAAATTAACACGCCTAGATTAACAAAGGAGGCCCAGAATAAAACCACAAAACTCAAATAGTTTTGTCTTTGAAAAAAAACGGGACAGAAGCCCAAAATCCAGAAAGGGCTAGCCCAAGACCTATCAAAACAGACAAGCAAAAATTGGGCCTCAAAAGAAAAGTCACATTCGGACTCCAGACAAAAATAAACCCAGCACGATTTTGATAAAAGAAAAGACCCATTTCTTTTCGGAAAACCACGTGACACCCTTTTATCATATTTGGAAAAGTCAACAAAACCAGTCATTACATAGATGATTAGAGAAGGTCAGTAGCTGGCAAAACTGGGAAAGGACATCTCTGAAATTCTGAAAGATCAAATCCCCTTACATATGAATATATTTAGAGATATTTCTTCTATTCAGAAGGTGATTTTCCCAAAGAGATAAGTAAACACAATCTCAGAGAAAGATAAACAGGAAAACAGGGACCTGTTCAAAACTGAGAATTAGACTAACCATCACGGTTTTCACAGGGGGGCAGTTGGAATTAAAGAGGGGTTAGATTCTTTTTCAAGAAAAACAGAGAAGTGATCTTAAGAACTGACTATTGAGAGCTTATCTACCAGAAATTGATCAAAACCTCTTTTCTTTACAATAAAAATGAAAGATCCTTTTAAAGAAAATTGCCGCCCATTATTTAAAAGAATTACCCTACTCCAGATAACATCTCTTATAAATACAAGAAGGAGTGAACAGGGCAAAAACACAATCAATCCAATACTCAAGTCATCAATCAAACAAACAACTCAAAATCAACCAGAAGCTCACTTGAATTCCAAGTGAAAACCAGCTTTAGATCAGAATTCACAAGGTTTAGACTTAGAAAATAAGTCATTCAAAACGAGATTTCTCTCGTTACAAATTTGGTTCAGCAAAAAAACAAAAAAAGGTAGATTTTGAGCTTTTCCCAAACATGAAAACCTCAACAAATTTTACAGTACAGTCTCTAGCCCACTGAAGTCCTTGAGAACAGCCACTTCTGCCCTTACAGACTGAAGAAGCCGCAGTTCTGCCCACTCAGAAGCCTCACAAAAGCTTGAAGTGTATTAAAGCTCTGCCAAAATTAACCTTTGGTATCGATCTACAGTTGAAGTTGTTAACAGTCCAGTCCAGCCTAGATATTTACAGTCCAGCCCGGATCAAAACCTCCTATCCAGGCAGAAATGGAGTTTCAGCTGTCCTTTCATCTTTCTAGCTTGGATATTTATGTTTATAGTTTTGTAAAAGGCAGTTATGCCTAAGACAGCTTAAATTCCATCAACCATTCTGGTCAGAACAACCTCTTTATACTGAGATAAATTGTTAAAGTCCTCACCAGTCTGAGGCAAGAAAAGAACTTACTTTGGAGATATTCCTCACCCAAATTCACAATCGTTTGTTTGCAGAAATCAGTAACTTGGGGCGCAAGTTATCCATTCTAAACTAAGTCTGCTAGAATCTTCATTGCTAGCAGTGGCACGCTCGCACACCAAAGAGAGCTGACTTGTTGACCAGTCAATGGTTCACAAGGCAGTGGGGAACTTTGCCCTTCCACCACAGGAGTAAACGCAAAACGGGTGAACAACACCATTTTCTATAATAAGGATGTTTCAAATTGTACTTCGATATCTTTCAATCCTCCTCCCGCATAAATTAGGGTAGTTTAAATTATCGTTTGCATCTTCCAACCTTACTTTGATATCTTTCAATCCTCCTCTCGCGTACATTAGAGTAGTTTAAACTAGGGGTGGTTGCTGTTCGGTAACCTCGAATTTTTGCCCAAACCGCAAACCGACCGACTATTTGCGGTATGGTGATTTTTGAAACTGCAAAAAGCAGTCAGTTACTGTGAATTAGCGGTTTAAATCCGCAAGTTCTTTTTGTTTTATAAAAATCTAATCTTCTACATTTTAGGCCTAATTTTGATGATTCTTTTGAAGCATTTTGATTTCAAGTATACTTTAACCCAAAAATATAAACTCACAACCTAAATAAATAAATTCACAACCTCAACTTCTCAAGCATTCACAACCTAAAGAAAATTAAAGTTACAATTCCAAGCATTCCAATTAAAGTTAAACTTCTCAAGCATTCACAGCCTCAACTTCTCAAGCATTCTAATTCCAAATCCTTTAAAGTTACAAACCAAAAAGAAAATGCAATGCAAAATGAAGTAAAGTTACAACCCAAAGGAAAAATCCAATTCAAAGTTAAGTAAAGTTACAAACTAAAAGGAAAATGCAATGCACCAATATTACAAATTAAAATTACAAACTCAAGTGTTGATGGTGGTGAGTGGATTTGAAGGACCCCGTTGTGTTGTTTGAGCACCAATGCTATATACAAAATGCAATTTTTATTTATTTATAAATATAGTCGCAGTTTGCGGTAATCGCAAGTTTTGAAAATCAAATACCGCAATCGCAAATGCGGTTCGGTTTCCCGCGATTGCGGTTCCATTATGGTAAATTATCGGTTGATTTTTGTGATTTTTCGGTCTAAAATGGCACCCCTAGTTTAAACAATTATTAAGCACTCCTTATTCCCTCGAGTTAGTAAGGGCACCCCACACACTGAGTTAGAGGTGTCAAACGGTCTGGGCCAGCCCAAGCACGGCCGGTTTAAGTAAGGCCCAACACGACCGGTATCTTTGTGTGGGCTAGAACAAGGCAATTAGGCCCAATAAGCTAGGCGGGCCTGTTTAAAGCCCATTTATTAAATATATTTATTTTAGAGAAAAATAATACATGATATTATTATATTTATATTTTAAATTCAAATCTATTTCTTTTCTCTAATAATATATATTAAAATTTAATGTTTTCTTTAATGTTTTTCAAGTTTCAATTTCTAAAATCCAAACAATAATTTAGTCATTTGCTATTTAAATGTACTTTAAATAAAGTTATTGGCCTCTTTTTTCAACAAATAATAAATCTTATTTGTATATACATAATTGTAAAAAAGATTTAAACGAAGTTGTAAAAAGAATTATAAAAATAAATGCAATATATAAGTCAAATTTGGCATGAGTCCATCTCAACCCCGATTAGTGGTCCAACACCAGTACAACCCAAATCCATATGGGCTAAGGCCGTAAACTTGGGGCGGGTTGATGATTTTCATAGTATGAATAATAGTCAAACAACACTCATTTTTGTTCTTATTGGCAAAAAACACAGACAATTAAACTAACCTCTAGCTTTTTCACTTCAATCTACTCCCTCCCACGTCCCAACAACCCATCCTCCCAACAATCAATTTACTTAATCTCCCCAACTCTCATCCCGATCAAGGAAACCATTGATTTTAGGAAATATCATATGAACAAACAATGATGGACTCGGGAATTTTTATAGGGATATGCTAAATTTTGTTTTTTACAAGAGATATATTATAAGTCTTTTTTCTCTTGAAACAAAAATGTAAATAAAACTTTATAAATCAAATAAAGCCACATTACGAGCAAATAACACAAAGAAGTACAAACTATAAATAAATATCAAATCAAACACATTGTTCAACTACTTGAAATCCAAGTTGAGTAAGTTCCTCAAGAATTGAAATATCAACATCAGATGCAGAAGGTGTATTCTTGTTATCATTACCACTTTTTTTTGAAGAATGAATAAATAGTTTTTGCTCTCCTTGCCGGTCTATTATCATCATGTGACATGATATTATAACAAGAAATACTAGACACCAAAAATCATATATGCTAATAATAATTCAAGTTGCAAAAATAAAACATATATAACAATCCCCAAAAGTTTTCAATCCAAGCCCTAAATCATAAAAACTAACAATAACAATTAAAATTTGAAATTGAATATGAAAAAAAGAGAAAAACTTACCAAGATTGAAGAACCCATTGAAGATAGGTTGGTACATTTTTTTTTAGAGGGGGAGAGCTATTTCTTCTAGGCTCTAAAGGTTCAAATATGACATTTTGGGGTGGCTAGAAGAAAAATTCTGATGTTTGCTTCTAATCAAATTTATATAGGTTATGCATTGCATGTTTACTATTTCCTATATGCTTCAAGAGTGGGTTTATTTCTACATACAGAACTGGGCCTATTTTAAATAGAGGACTAGACTATTATTTATTTTGCCTAAGTTTGCCTTATACCACCAAGCTTGCAAAAAAAATCAGCACTGGGCTGAAGTGTAGATCCGCCCTTGTTAACAAACATGCAATATAAACTCAGGACTTCTAAGCCTTCTACAAGTTATAAGTGGTGGTAGCAGTATGTCTTGGCTACCTAAATTAAAGTACGAAAAAGACAAGTTGCAACTACAATGCAATACGATCTTTCTCTATTTTCTATGTACTTTTTAATTACATTAATATGATACAAAATTCATATTAAATCTCTAATGTGAATTTCTATGACTTATATGACTCATTGAGTATGATTCTAAATATTTTTTTCTCAATCAAACACAATACTTAGAGATTCTCAAATTATATCTTAGCCCTCTATGAATAAATCGAAGACCATGACAGTGTCTTAAGTTAGGTCCCCGATTTGTTTTATATTTAGCATTTGCAGTCAAATGACAATCTAGCTCTTTGACTGTTAATCATAGTTCACAAATGTTAAAAACAGGGATGTAAGTGTGAAAGTAAAACATATGGGTTTTGAGTGTAATTAGTCCAAACTTCAAGGAGCATAACTGAAATTCTCCATTTCCGTTCGTTTAATTGATAAATGGCCACATCACTTTTAGATAAGCTTATACGAAAATTCGTTTCCATGAAAGTTTAATAATAATAAAAATAAAAATAGAGGGACAGAAAATATATATATTTTTTTAACAGAAAGGGACAGAAAATATTTGAAGTCACAAAAACGTGTAGACGCCCCAAACATCAAATTGGTAACGGACTAAAATTGCCTCCCGGCTGTCTGTCCAAAATTCCAGATTCCAACTGATTAACCAATCAGCCCAAAACCCTAAATTCCCAATTCCTAGATTTCCGAATCTATTGGTGTATTTGGATCTCAGAGATGCGACGATCTTTGTTTTTCCTTCTTCTATTTGCTCCGCTAATTGAATGTTTGTCCAGTCCTTCAGCCATCACTGCAGGCTCAGAGAGCTCAGAGACCTCCCTCTCCAATCCATATTCCTGGAGTTCCAACCTCTTCAATTCTCTTTGGCCCAAACTGTAAGCTCAAGTCTGAATTTTTCGCTTAACTTTTCGATATTTATTGAATTCAAACTCATAAAGTTCACTCTTTGTTTTTGAATTGTGAAATTTGATACAGCGGAAATGATGTAGCTCTGCTGGTTACACTAGATGGGACGATATATATGGTGAACACTACGACGGGGGAGATTCAGTGGGACGTCCCGTCTGGTGCCCCAATTTATACTTCATATCAGGATGTCAATTATTTTAACAAGATTACGAGTGATGATTACTTTTTCATTGATGTTGGTGAAGACGGGGCGCTCTATAGCCATACCAGCAAAGGAAAAGAGGTATGGCAGCTTACTTTTTAGCCTTATTTTGATGTGATGCTTGTGTTTACAATTCTTATTTTTAATGTATTAGAATGTGCCTGTTCTGCATGTAGTGGATGTTCAATGTCTATTTTGAGGATTTCGGTCATCATTTTATTTTTTTGATCTCAGTCTGTGTTAAGATAATGTGGGTATCATTCATGGTCGGTGAACTGGATGGTTTTACATAACTGATGTCTGTGTTGTAATGATATCTTTATTGGGGTTGCATTGTTTATTCTGTTATGGTTCATCTTATGCCAGAAATTGTCATCGACTATTGAAGAATATATCGGACGCACTCCGATTTGGTCAAAGGATGGGGGAGTCACGTTGGGATCAAGGAGGACCACTGTGTTCCAAGTTGTTGCCCAGACCGGAAAACCAATTCATATATATAATTCAGCTGATACTCCTTCCAAGTTAGTAGTTCGGAGAACTAAAAGTGATGTGTCTCCAAAAGTGAAGGATGCTGACGAGTTGGTAGAGTCTGGTTCCAAGGGCTTGGAAACTGTTGAGCAGCCCCTTTCTATCGTGAGAACAGATTATGAAATCACACATCATTCTTCGGGCAAGGTTGTATGGAATGTGACATTTGCTGCATTTGATTCTTATCCCCAAGTTTCTAATACTGGAAAAGAGCTTGCTTTAAAGCACAGCAGGGATTCAGATTCAACATTGCCGTATCAAATGAAGACTATTATCCTCCTAACTCGCGATCCTAGATTGACAGAATCTCTTTCTGCATTAGCCAGACGAACTGATAGACATCCTGGAGGCAGTCTGGCCATCGAGCATGGGCTTCATGATAATCTTCCTGCGACTGTTCGACAGATTCCTCTGCCTCCTCACAGTGATGAGGGCAGAGGAATTCTTGCCACATATCGTGAAACTGAGGACCCTGGCATCTTGGGTACCCATGTTAGAGGTGTTGGTCAAATGAATGCCACAAGCAGAATGGCCGAAGCTGTAACGAAGTTACAATCTCTCTTTCTGTTTGTGCTCACACTTCTGTCCATTATGGTCTATGTCTTACGCCGTTATGTAACCTTTGGAAAACAGCGTAAACTGAAAGAGATGGTTGAGGAAACTAAAGTGCAAACAGGGGTTCCAAAAAAGAAGAAAACTCGTCGATTGGGAAACAATAAGAGGAATGTCATTGATGAGAAAAACACGAGCAATGTGTTGCATGAATATAAGGTTGGAGAATCAGAAGAATCTATACACAGTCAAAGAAGCAAAGACAAATTTCTCTTGACCTTTACTGATCATGTTGATGGTCAAATAGAGGGACGTAGAATTGGCAAGCTACTTGTTTTCAACGATGAAATTGCTAAGGGAAGTAATGGTACCATTGTACTTGAGGGAACCTATGATGGTCGTCCAGTAGCTGTTAAACGTCTAGTACGGGCTCATCATGATGTGGCTTTGAAAGAGGTTCAGAATCTTATTGCCTCTGATCAGCATCCAAATATTGTCCGTTGGTATGGGGTGGAGTATGATCAAGATTTCGTTTATCTATCCTTGGAGCGTTGTATATGTAGCTTAAATGATTTGATTTATTTTTACTCTGAGTCGATTCAAAGCCAAATCACCAAGGATCAGGAACCCCAATTTTTGACTGAGTATACCGTTCGATTGCATACGATAATGGAAAATAACAAGGGCATTGAATTGTGGAAGGCGAATGGGTACCCTTCACCCCAGTTGTTAAAATTAATGAGGTTAGTTTAATGCCTTCCAATAGCTTCTCTCTTCTTCTCTTTTTCCCCGTACAATCTGTTTTGCAATTATGGGCTAACCACTGTTTCTAATTTTGCACTCGGGCAGTCATACTAGTAACTTTTAGTGCAGGTGATATGACAGGTACCCTGTTGGGATTAAGATTACTTCTGTCAGGATCACCTTGAAGATAGCTAATCACTTTCTTTGTTTTATAGGAATTTTAGAGTGAAAATAACCATTCATTTTTAAAGGATTGTAGAAAACTTTGTTATAGAAACAATTCGTTTCAATGGATTTAATGTTTCATATTTCATCCCTTATGTCGGAAACTTATATAAGGGGACTCATGTTTGACTTATCTAAACGTATATTCTTGATTTCGTTTCCCCTTCAAGTGGGGTTTTAAGTGAGGGATTGAATTGTTTAGTTGCTTCCATTTTTTCAAAGAACATCTTAAATTTGATTTCCCTAATACGTTATCAAGAAATTCGATTTCATTAATATAGAAGAAAAAACAAAATCTTGAAAAAAGTTGAATAAGGTACTTGAGAATTTGACAAGATCATTATTTTTGCAGTGATCTGGTTTCTGGGCTTGCACATTTACATGAACTTGGAATTATACATCGGGACTTAAAGCCTCAGAATGTTTTGATAATAAAAGGCAGGTCTTTGCGTGCCAAGCTTTCAGATATGGGTATCAGCAAACGCCTACAAGGGGACAGGTCTTCCATAACCCAGCATGCTACTGGTAAGTATCTGGAACTGTTTGAAGTATTATGTTTATTAATTCTGAGGCAGCATGTGCTTGTTATGGTTTAGGTCTAGGTGACGAAATGTGGTGAGTTTGAAAACAACCTGGAATCATGATCCAATGAGTTAACCATTTATTGATGTTTATTTGCTAGGCCTTTTGTTTACTTTATTACTGGTGTAGGTCAACTTTCTTACTGATCTGTTACCCCTACTGGTTTGTTTGTGTGCTCTAACTAAACATCCTATTATTTTTCTTTATTGTTGTTGACTGCAGGTTATGGTAGCTCAGGATGGCAAGCACCTGAGCAACTTCGCCATCAGCGCCAAACACGTGCAGTGGATTTATTTAGTTTAGGGTGTCTTCTCTTTTTCTGTGTCACTGGGGGAAAACACCCTTATGGTGATAGTATCGAGCGTGATGTAAATATAGTAAATGACCAGAAAGACCTGTTCTTAGTAGATACTATACCAGAAGCTGTGGATCTTTTTAATCGTCTCTTGGATCCCAACCCTGATATGAGGTAAAGTTCTTTATTGTCATCCATACAAATTTATAAGAATTTTTATTGGTTCTTTCACTATCTGTCAACTTAAAAGCTAGAGCTTTATGTCTAGTGCCTGGCCCCCTCCCTCCTACTTAGACACGCACACACACACATAGACACATGAACACACAGATGTATACAGCCATGTGTATCAGGATACCTTTTAGCTCTAATTGCTCATTCCCACTGAATTACTGATTTTCCAGGCCAACAGCCATGGATGTGTTGCATCATCCTTTTTTCTGGAGTTCTGAGACTAGACTTTCATTTCTTCGAGATGCTAGTGATCGAGTTGAATTGGAAGATAGGGAGAGTGAATCGGAACTCTTAAATGCATTAGAAGGTACTGCAGCAGTTGCTTTAAATGGGAAGTGGGATGAGAAGATGGAATCTGCATTTATCAATAACATTGGTCGCTACAGGCGTTACAAGTTTGATAGTGTTCGTGACTTATTGCGTGTCATACGGAACAAGTTAAACCATTACCGGGAACTTCCTCAAGACATTCAGGAAATACTGGGGCCAGTTCCCGAGGGCTTTAACAGTTATTTTTCAAGTCGATTTCCAAAACTTTTAATCGAGGTTTATAAAGTGTTGTACAGGTACTGCAAAGAGGAAGAATTCTTGTGTAAGTATATGAAAAGCAATCTACTATAACTGCCCCCCACCCGGCCTGCCTTAGCCACCTCACTTTCTTGACCTGTTTCAACGAATTAATTTAACTTTTGTAATTGCAAATGTATTATATATGTACACACAGTGATAGTGCAAAAGTGAATGAAGAAGCTACATGTTATAGTGTTTCATTGATAAGAGAGACTTGCAAGTATAAAGCATGAAGCAAAAGTCATGAACCTCTCTCTCTCTCTCTCTCTCTCTCTCTCTCTCTGTGTATACATAATTATGTCAGCCAATACTATCAAAGCTCAAACGGAATTGGTGTGAATCAAATTAAATCCCACTATGGAATCAGTCAAGCTCACGCATTTGGGGGAGCCTGTGGCAAAGATTCTTTCATTTTTATTTTAAAGTTTTTTCTGTGATTTCTGTACCACTTTCTGTTTCTTTCATGCTACCCTTTCCTACCACATGTACAGTACCAACTCTCCAGCATCCTGGGTTTAAATGACCAAATTGACCCTACTTAATCATTCATCACTATTAAAATGGTGGGTAAATATTGTAATTTGATAAAGCAGACCAGCGACAGACATTTTCCACTAGAGTAGAAAGTAGAAAGTGCCAACTCTCCTTTGAAGGCTTGAACAAAATCTCATTAGCTATATAGCAGCCCTCAAACACATAGTTGAACTTACTTCAATCACCATGGCCACCACCACCCTCCCACTCCTCCTTTTAGTAATTGTAAGCTCGTTCCAAAACGCGGTGGTTTCCGGTGTGGGCATAAACTACGGGACTCTCGGAAACAATCTGCCACCACCAAAGAGAGTAGCTCAGCTCCTGCAGGCCACTCTCATAGACAAGGTCAAAATCTATGACACCAACCCCGAAATCCTCCAGGCCTTTTCCAACACAGGCATCGACCTAATCGTCGCCGTCGAGAACAGCCATGTCTCCAACATCAGCACCGACGTGGCTGCCGCAGACGAGTGGTTTGCCACTCGTGTCCTGCCCTTCATTCCTGCCACTTCCATCACAGCCATTGCTGTAGGAAATGAATACTTAACCACAACAACAGCGGCTACAAAAAGTGACAAAGATCCCCAAGTGGACCCCACAGCTCTGGTCCAGGCAATGCAGAACTTGCACGCAGTGCTCATAGCCCGAGGGCTGGACCGCAAGATCAAGGTCACCACCCCACACAGCATGGCCGTTCTAGCATCCTCATTTCCTCCTTCATCCTCAACTTTTGCCACAACTCTTGTGCCAACTATGACCTCCATAGCTGCCTTCTTGGCGGACACTGGCGCCCCTTTTATGGTCAATGCCTACCCTTACTTCGCATACCGGGACAACCCCGACATGGTCAATCTACAATACGCATTGCTAGGGAACTCAACCTCAAACGGTGTGCGTGACCCGAAAGGGTACACGTACACCAACATGCTGGATGCTCAGATTGATGCCGTTCGAGCTGCCATTGATGCACTTGGACTTGGACACCGGACCGTGGAGATCATGGTGTCTGAATCCGGGTGGCCATCCAAGGGTGACACCGGGGATATAGCCGCTACGCCGGAAAATGCCAAGACTTATAACACTAGGTTGATTGAGCGTGCCCAGTCTAACAAAGGGACACCCATGAAGCCTAATGACAAGGTTGAGGTATTTGTGTTTGCTTTGTTTAATGAGAACAAGAAGGAAGGGGGCGCGACAGAGAGAAATTTTGGGATTTTTAACGGGGACGGTTCGAAGGTGTATGAAGTGGATTTGAGCTGCAAATTTTGCAGCAACGATGGCAACGGAAATGGAGGAGGATTTGGGTTTGGTGAGAAAGTATCGGGTGTGGCAAGGGGTCCATCTGTTTGGTGTGTTGCTAAGCCCCATGCTGATGAGAAGGTGCTTCAAGCTGTGTTGGATTTTTGCTGTGGAGGTGGTGGTGTGGATTGCAGAGAGATCTATGAGAACGGTGATTGTTTTGAGCCTCAGAAGCTTCTTGCTCATGCATCTTATGCCATGAATGCCTACTATCAGATGCATGGCAGAAATTACTGGAATTGTGACTTCAAGGGCACTGGCTTAGTTACTTTCAGTGATCCAAGTAAGTATAATTAATAAATCCTAGAGAGATTTCCCATTAATTCACACTTCATACAATTTTGATATTGTTCAACTAATCTTTTCACCCAAAAAAGAAAAAGAACATATTTAGCTAATCTTTTGACCAAAAGTATACATTGTTTAACTAAACTAGCTCACATTCCCACCCAAGTAAACCTTGGTTTGATTACGTAGAAGACAATCTTGAGGCAACCCAATATAATACTCTCCTCTTCCCCTTCCTATAGCGAATGAAAAAAACTAAACTTGCTCACCCAATTGGCCTGACATACATGTTAAGTTGTTGATTGTTCTGACTCTGTAAACAATTATTGTTTATGGTTATGCCTAATCTAATCTGAAATGTGATTGTTATTAATGTTGTGATCTGTTTTTGCAATTTGTGATCAGCTTATGGGAGATGCCAGAGGGCATAATCAATGTGGCTGACAGCTAGCTCTTCACTCTTGAGCATTGCCCTAAGATTTATTGGTCACATCCCGATGTAAAAGAAGAAAACAAGAAAAGTTTGATTTGAAGGTTGTTCTGCAGGATTTTGAATTTTAGGCTGGTTTTATCCTGAAAAAGGAGTCTTTTTCTTTGGGTGCACATGGTTAAAAGTAAGATGTGTCCACAATCAAAGGCTTTTCTGTTTGACAAAAGTTCTCCCTCTTTTTTGATATGGAATCTTTTTACTGTGAACCTTCGAAAAGTACAAAATACAAAATAAAATACAAGAAAGCAATGCATCCTGACCTGAGACAATTTGAACAAAAAGGGCCCATTTAGGCACTGTTAATTTCAAAGAAATGAGTGAGTATTTATGAGAAACTCAGAGCGTGACCCGCGTGGTTTCTGTTTGTAATTGAATATTTTCCGTATCATAAAAAAAGAAAAAAGAAACATACAGCTATGGCCTATGAGAAATATGGAAGAGAAATGCAGTATGATTGTGTGCATTCGGATGAGTAGGAGATGAATACAGTGAAGATGACTAGGAGATCATTTTTCTATCTGGCATTTGGAATTCTTCACAAGACAATATTGCTCTGAATACTGATCTGGAGACGGCGAGTTAATTGAGTTATGTGGTTGGTTTTTATTTATTTTTAGAAAAGGTGGTAATCATTAGATAATCAAATCGTTACAAGATGAACAGCATGTAATAGGTGGCCTCGTTTACGACAATTTATGACATTTTACCATGTAATGATGCTGATGATTCAAACCAATTATAGGAATTCTAGCTATCCTAACAATACAAACACCTTATAAATGGCATGCGTAAAATGCAAGTTTATTCTGACAGTATATAAAAACAAGCCATCTTCTGGCCTATGAAGATTTTGAACTTTTCTTTCTCTGCCCTTTGGTTCTAGATCAGGATGTTCAACTTAATAACAAGAAGGTTTGAAAACTGAAAATCAAAGCTATAGAGGACATCAGATATAAAGAAACACGCGCTTCAATTTTGACTCCGAAAATAACACATAAAACAACAATAATGATGATGGGGAGATGAGGCAGAAGAATATGTACTCAATATTAGCTTGACATTGGCATCCGAATTCCATATTAGTGAATAATTATGGATAGAACATAAGTTCCTAGAATATAAAGTATATACATATAGATGATTCAAAATAATACTAATGCTAAGGTAAGGTTAAATGAGGACTTACATGCATTGATACAATTATGATGATCTAATGAGAGTTAATTGTTGGAGTTAATTTCGCTCCTGTTAGTCATTTCTGTTTGTTTCTTTTCGGGATTCCGCCCCAACTTGTCATCCGTATCATTGTCGGAAAACGATCTAACTATTTTCTTTCTTTTACTTCCACTATTGGAGGGGTCTTTCTTCTCATCAATTAATGATAAAAATCTCCGGAGTTGCCTAGATCGTGAGCTACCTGGACTAGTTGAAACACATGGTGTTGGGTCAGCATGGCGTAGCTTGTTCAGAATTTGCAAAAAATATATGAAGAGAGCAACGAAGCAAGCTATTCCACATATGAGAAAGAGGCCCCAAAAACTTTTAAGGTGAAGCCGGTCTGACTCAAGTTCAGTGCTCTCTAAAGTGCAAGAGCTTTGCCTCAGCCACTTATCATAGATCCGCTGCAAATCACCATTCTCTGATAGTTGTAGAAGTGCAGTTGACATGTCAACAGCTAAAGGAGAGTCGCGTGGAAATGCCTATCATGGCAAAGAAAATAAAGACAGGTCATAATTTTGTATTTCTCGTATACATTATGCTAACATCTAAAAGAATCTCAGAATATGAATGTTCCAAGAAAATATACTCACAAAACCCCAACCGCTTTTGGTGAACTCTTGACCTATAACCCTAAATTTGCACTGCGATGAGAGGAAGACTTCAACATAAAGACGCTCATCAACCACAGCAGCAACACCTCCTGCCTTTTTAGGACCAAGCTGGAGCGCCTGCGCATATGCTTGAGGAGACCCAAGGGGAATAAGCCTGGATTTGGATATGCCAAGTTCCTCACTCAAATAATGTTCAGCAAAGGAACCCACTTGATACCCAATTGGCTCATCACTATTTTTCAAGCTTTCAATTCCTTTAATTGGAGAAGATAGGTGCTGCACTGTAAGAATTGATGTCAGACTGGCAGTGTAACTTGAGTTGATTATCAAAACCACAAAGAGCCATATGATGAGAACTAGACGACCAAGGGTGCTCACAGTGTTCTCTCCTGTGGAAGGGGCAGAGATGCAAGTCAGTTAAATGAATATTGTTTCAATAAGTCCACAAAAGCCAGATTTTATGAGGAAAGAAGCTGAGTCTCACTTACTATGGGCAAAGAACAGAGTTGAGATGCTAAACCTGCAAGGTTGACAAACAAGAAAACAAATCAGAAACCAATATTTTGGAAATATGGGAAGATGTCATATGGACCTAGATGCTAAGTAACCTTAGGAACCTAAAGAAACACATCACATTCTAGAGCCCTTGAGGGACTTCGGGTGAAATAAGTCTTATTCATTAAGCACCACAGCATGCTCTAGACAGATTCGCAATAGTGGCAGGAGACCAAAACCATAGACACAGGATTCTTACAATAA